GCTGAGGAATGGAACCCAGGGCCTCATGCATGCAAGGCAAGCACTGTACCACTGAGCCACCTTCCCAACCCTGTTGAACACTCATAAAGTTTAGATTTAATGTAGCTCGTCCAGGTTAGTTATATCTTCAGATTTTCAAAGGTTACAATCAAAAGACTTACAGTGAGTGTTTCCATTCTTTTCCTATAACTTTTTTTTTAATGTTGTATGCTGTGTGTTTTGGGGTTTTTGTTTTCATTTGCTTTAGTGTTGGTACTGGGGCTTGAACTCAGGGCCTGGGCATTGCCACTTAACTGGAGATAAGAGTCTCACAGAAGCCGGGGGCCGGTGGTTCACACCTGTAATCCTAGCTACTCAGGAGGCTGAGATCTAGGGATTGCGGTTCAAAGCCAGCCTGGGCAAGAAAGTCTGTGAGACTCTTATCTCCAATAAACCACTAGAAAACCAGAAGTAGGGCTGTGGCTCAAGTGGTAGAGCGCTAGCCTTGAGCTGAAGAGCACAGGGACAATGCCCAAGCCCAGAGTTCAAGCCCCACGACCTACCAAAATAAAAAAAGTCTCACGGACTTGCCTGCTAGGGCTGGTGTCAAACTATGACTCTCAGATTTCACACTTTTGAGTAGCTAGGATTGCAGGTGAGAGCCACCTGGGCACAAATATATGATAGCTTTTTATTAATTAGAATTCCTCAAACACCCAAGACATTTTGCTCAGTGATTGATTGATTGTTACATTACATGAAATGTAGAGGTTGTCCAGACAGATTTTTTTCCCAAGTTTTTGTGTATGTATTTCCTTTGCAAAAAAAAAAAGGATAATGAGATTGTAAGTCTAAAGTAACAAATCTTAATCTGATTATCATGTAATAAGGTTAAAGGCAAATGATAACTCCCATTTCATAGCTTTTTTTTTTTTTACTAGTTGGTTAAACTTGCCAACGCAATTAGAAACTCCAGTTTTATTATCATTAAGGTTTTGTAATGTTTATGTAATATTTACTTTTTTATACATAGGATTAATGGAGTAAGAAAGATACTCTCTTCCTTTCTTTCCCACTATGTTGTAATTTTTTTAAATAGTAGATGACTTCGTCTGGATTGTAAGCTCTATGGTGGCAAGAATGTCTGCTTTTGTCTAGTATCCATTCACTCTTCAGCTCTTCAGCATATTTTAGGAGTCACCAGTTGTGTTGAGCAAAAAGTTTCTACTGTAAATTTTTTATGACTGAGTTCACTAAATACGTATTTATTCACAGAGAGATTAGAGCTTGCTTTGAACCATTACCCTCTCTTCTTTTGGCAGTAGTGGGTTTGAGCTCAGAGCCTTGCACTCAGGTCCTCTACCATCTGAGTCACACCCTTAGCCCTTTTTGCTTTAGAGTTATTTTTCTAATAAGGTCTTCAGGTTTGTTTTTTTTTTTTTTGCCAGAACCAGCCTCAGACTATATTCTCGTGCCTATATTTCCTTCAGTTATGATTGCAGGCATGTAACAATACACCAAGCTCCCAGCTTTTTTTTGAGAGGAGGTAGAATTCTGTGGATTTTCTGTACAACATCATTAGCCAAACTGTTAGAATGTGTGTGTGTGTGTTTTTTAGAGGATAGGGTCATCAATGGACCTATTAATTAGACTTATTTTTAATATCTTTTAGAAGTAATAAGTTGTAGATCTTTTGGATAGACTGATATAAATTATGCTGATTAATGTGTTTATATTGAAAGTCTTTAGTCATTCAACAAACAAGCTCTGAATAAAAATGACACGTTGCCTCTAAATGATGATTATGGCTAAGTTCCACTTAGTGTTTTCAGTATGGGCTATAACTCTGGGTTCCCATGATATTATTTGCGTACTTCTATTAGAAGGTATCACATTGCATGCAATAGCCATTTAGTTTCTTGTTTGTATTTGCTGTAAACTGGGAATTCCTGAAAGACAAAAATAGTAGCAATAAAAGTTAACCCAGGCATGCTAAAATTTATTGAATGCATTATCTCATTTAATCTTTAGAATAGCCCTTTAAAAGATAAGAACTGATTTTTTTTTCCTTTGTATTACTCCTGTGGCTTGAAGTCTGGGTCTGGGCTCTGTCCTTAAGGTTGTTGTTGTTTTTTGTTCGTTTGTTTATTTGCACAAGGCTAATGCTGTACCACTTTGGCCACATCTCCACTTTCAGCTTTTTGGTATTTAACTGGGGATAAGAGTCTTAAGAACTTTGCTGCCCAGGCTGACTTCAAACCTCCAGCTTCAGATTTCAGAAGTCCTGCCTGAGCTTGGTTCAAACTGCTAGCCTCTGTCTCAGCCACTTGACTAGTGAGGATTATAGGCATGAGCCCCTGTACTGGCTCAAGAAGGATATTTTGACTGATAAGGAAAGAGTTTTTAAGTAACTAGCTCAAGGCCACACAGGTATTAAATTGTGGATCCAGGACTTAAATCCAGGCAGACTTAACTGCTGTTAGCATCGATCCCAGGACCCAGTCAGTGGGAGTCAGTGCTTGAGGGAAGGATCAGAACCTTATTTTTGGCTTTTTTTCCCCCCTAGTCCTGGGGCTTGAACTCAGAGCCTGGGCACTGTCCCTGAGTTTCTTTTGCTCAAGGTTGGCACTTTAAGCCATAGTGCCACTTCTGGCTTTTTCTGTTTGTGCGGTACTGAGGAATTGAACCCAGGGCTTCATGCACGTTAGACAAGCAGTCTACCACTAAACCACATTCCCTTTTGGCTTCTTTATGTTGTAGATATCTGTAATTTCAGCCAATGTTTGTTGACAGTTTTCAGAGCTGCCACATTGGGTTCAAATTAATGCATGAACTGATTATA